TTCTCCGAGGCACCGTTAACGAGTTATCAACGAAAAACAGTGACCAATGAGAAGAACAGTGACCAACGGCGCCAGCGGTCGAGCGGTCGAGTCCCAGCTCAACTGGCGTGAGTCAGCCGAGTCAACAGCGCCAGCGGTCGAGCTGTCGAATCCCAGCTCAGCTGGCGCGAGGCGGCCGAGCCAGCGGCGCCAGCGGTCGAGCGGTCGAATTCCAGCTCAGCTGGCGCGAGGCGACCGAGCCAATGAGCGGAACTGGGCTTCGTGCGCTGGTTGGCTGGGCCGCCTCGCGTCAGCCGAACTCGATTCTTATCGGTCACTGTTTTTCGTTAATAACTCGTTAACGGGGCCTCGGAGAAAATTTTTGTAAAGGAAGAAGTTGCTTCAAATGATCCGAGGAACCCGCCATTTCCGGATTGCGAGACATTTTTGTGACACCCTGTAGACTGTTGTAAATCGATGTGAAGACAAAAGAAATGTGAAACAATGCATATGAAGACGATTATTTGGTTCAAACGATGAGCGAGTGAGCTACTAGAGCAAGCCACTATAGTGGCGCGTCGTCCAAAGAGATGACATCCGCGAAAGCCACTATAGTGGCGTGTCGTTCTAAAAGATGATATCCGCGGAAGCCACTATAGTGGCGCGTCGTGCCTAAAAGGTTAAACGTCAATTGCACAATTCTATCACCGACGCAAGCACATAACGCGTGTAACGTCCTGCTCCTACGTACAGGAGTCCGTTTATCAATAAATAATAATACGCCTCTGTCTGATCATAGTTCGGAATTATACAGGGTGTCCCAAAATTATTGTACAAGCGGGAAGTGAGGGGTTCGTTTGTTTACGAGTTATTAACGAAAAACACTGGCCAATGGGAGACGAGCTCCGTCTCGCGCCAGTCGTGCCAGTCAGTGTTTTTCGTTAATAACTCGTTAACGATGCCTCGGTGACAATTTTTGTAAAGGAAAAAGTTACTTCGAATAACCTCAGGAATCCCTTATTTCCCAGAAGTAGCATAATTTCGAGACACTCTGTACAAACTTTCCGATCGTTAACAAAACTTCTTCTCTGCGAGAAGTTCGAATCAAAGATGTTTACGCGAGACGAGCAGGATTCGTTGTTCTTCATAGAAACAAAGAATCCTCGAGATACGTGCGCGAGACCTGATCTGCTGCCGATAAAATCTATCGATTACTTGTTCGTCGCGCTTTGCATCCCTCAGACGTTTCCCAAAACTATAAAGTAAAGTATCACTCTTGAATTGTTCTGATGATATGATAAAAAAAAAGATACGCTGAAACAGATTATACATTAGCTGTACTGTCGAGGTCGTGCAAGAATCTCCATGGTACCACCAGACCGTTACGTTCCATCGTATCGTGTAAGCACAAGGAGTACGCGTTAACGGAATACAACGGTTCTGTAGAACCACGAGCGTCTCGAATCCGCTGTGGATCGATAGGATAGCGTATCGCGCGCAATTCGTCATAGCAGATCCATGGTGCGAATCGTTAGAGACACCGTCACGGCGCGGCGTGGCGCCGCAGCGTTCAATTACTATCCTCGAATTCCAGGGTTGTGTATAGTGTGCAGTGTACACTGTACATGGGAGAAAGGGGCGCCGTTCTGGTGTGTAATGAGCGATCGTGTCAGAGGGAGGAAGCTAGAGAGAAAGAGAGAGAGAGAGAGAGAGAGAGAGAGAGAGAGAGAGAGAGAGAGAGAGTTCTCTCGAGTCGGAGAATGTGAAAGGTGGGACAGCAAGAGGAAGAGGAAGAGGAAGAGGATCAGGGGATGGGACGAAACGAATCGGTGTAGGCGGAAGGGCGAGCGGTGGTGCCGCGCTACGCTAATTAGTAGCAAACTCGGGGATATATTCTTCCTTCCCCGGGCGCGGTTGCACGTGCTCAGAGGACCGATACGGTTTACGCAGAGAAATCGCGAGGAATCGAATGATCGGCTACGAAAACACGCCCCATGAATAGCCACGACCACACCATAAGCTCTGAACACATCGCGAACGCCACGAACGTACAGAGCTCGCCCCGTTGCGTTGGTTCCCCCGAAGGGAAACAAACGGGCGTCGAGGCTCGCTCGTGCTTGCGAAAGCAAGCAGGGAACCGAAAGCCAGAAACCGCCGATTTCAATCGAAGTTCGGTTGCCGGGATGTTTCGTGGTTAAGCCGGTGCTAACAAATCCGAGGGAAAACTGTTCGAACGTCGCGTCACACGGTGGTCTGGCGAAGCAGCGATCCGTGATCAAAAAGATTATTTTAGCGTTGCTTATTTTGTTTCGTTGTTTTGTTTTATTTGAGTTATTGGGATTATGGCTTGGATTATTTCTCAAATGAATATGATATTAACCCTTTACACTCCGCTGTCTCCTCTCGTGGGACATCGTAATTCTAACATATCACTTGGATATCCCCTCTCGTGGGACATTAAGGTTTATTAGTGATTACGGGGAATTGAGTTATTTCAGCGCAACTTTTTGAGACATGCATGTTCCCCTGAAGTTTTCTCTTGAAATGGCACAAGAAATCAAATCAAAATATAGTAAAATTACTAAGATATATACAAGAAATGTCAGCGAGTTTTGACGAGAACGTGAGAGGCGTGCTCACGACGGTCCGAGCACTTCTAAGGCGCCACTTGAAAAGAGCGATAAGGCAAGTTTGTAGCACGCACTGTATAGTGAGATTTATAATCATAAAATCTGGAGGAAAAGATTTTCAAAGTTGAACTCAGTCTGGTTTGAAGCGTCGAGCGGTATAGATAGATCTAACGAGTGAGAAAATCGGAACAGTGATTCTTCTCTTGGTAAATA